CAAAGTGGTTCGAAGCCCTGATATTATTCTTTTTATTCCTGAAGGTACTCAATTATAAAAAACAAAAAACAAAAGAACTATGTACTGAGCTTCTGTTAAGGGTGATGGCAAATTCAGGAATGGTTAATGGTGATGTTTGAACAACATGATGAACATATGTAATGTCACTGAGCTGTACATGTGAAGACTGTTGGAAAGCCAAATGTTTTGGTGCCTACGTATTTACCACAAAAACAAAAAATAACTATGGCTCATAAACAAATTTCATGGATTACTTCTTACTTGGTGTCTATCGTCTGTACTGAGCCTAGTCCATGGTAGGTGCTCAATAAATGTTTGTCTAAGTGACTTGAACTGAGCTCAAGTCTGCCCTCAAACCTCACCCAGAGCTTAAAGGGCCATTTTCAAGACAAAGAATGCCAACCGTGCAATAGAAAAGCTCAAGTTTAGAGTGCAAACAAGTCTTCTGAATTTTGGGTATGGTCCTGAAGTCTAATTATAGCCGTATTTCTGACCCAAAGTAATCTGTAATTTGTTAGACCTTTTTAGTTCAAAAGGAAATGTCCAGCTCAAACAGACCAGATGAGATGCCCTGAGATATGTTCCTGAAAACCACAATAGGAAGCAGAACCACGAAAGGGGGCAATTTGGATCCATTTATCCTTTGCCAGAACTTTACAGTGGTCTCTTCCACCACTAGATGGCTCACTTCTCTATGGATTTGCTGAATTTCAGTCAGACAAATATACTTGGTTTGTTTTTGTTTGTTTGTTTTTATACAAGGAAAAGTGTCCCCCAGGAATCTGTGTTCTAGGAACTTTCTTACATCTCTGCTTTTGCGGTCAGATCACAATTCTCTCAATGTTTCACCACCAAAAAGTACAAACTTATGGGTATGTAGATAAAGAGACCAACTCTGTTTTTCCTTCAATTACAACAGAAGTATCTCTGCTCCTTTCCAAAGTGGACCACGTCTCTTCTGTGCTTGATTCCAGCTCCTCTCCCCTTCTTAATGAAGTCAACCACACACTCACTCACTCCTCTACTGCACTGCTGGTCCCCCCACCT